ATATATATATATATATATATATATATATATATATATATATATATATATATATATATATATATATATATATATATATATATATATATATATATATATATATATATATATATATATATATATATATATATATATATATATGTATGTATATATATGTGTGTATATATATATATATATATATATATATATATATATATAACACAGAGTTTAACTTTGTTAAATAAAAAAGTGTGGGTGTGTTGTATTGAGTATGGTGTATATGGCGCCGTCAACTTGGCTGCTCCTCCTGCTCGCGGCAGTATTTACAACTGTTGCGGCGGATGATGGCCCGGCGTGCCTCGACAATGCGGCAATGCAGAATCTGAAGGCCAGCCTGGTGTTCCCGACGACGGGATCATCTGTCGACATAGGCTTGGAAAGTTGGAATAAGACGAACGCATGCGAGTGGAACGGGATATTTTGCGACGTTGTCGGCCAGGTTTGGAAGGTCAACATCGAGGGTTTCTATCTCGGAGGCACCCTCACGGCGGCCGGCCTCGGATCACTCCCCTCCCTCCGTGAGTTCTACGCCAAAGGCAGCCAGTTCACCTCACTCCCGTCCGATCTCTTCGCTAATTTGACCAAATTGGAGGTAGTTTCTCTCGACGACAACACTTACCTTTCGCCGTGGAACATCCCGGAGAGTCTCACGGCGGCTCGGAATCTTTGGTCTTTCTCCGCCGCCAACTCTAACATGCAGGGCACCTTACCGGAATTTCTCACCGAAAAAAATTTCCCGGCCTTACGCTTTCTTGATCTCTCGGACCATAGTTTGTCGGGGCCTATCCCTTCCCAGCTTCCGGCAACTCTGGAGACTCTCCGGTTGAGGGCACAATACCAAGGTCATCATTTGTCCGGCAAAATACCCGACTTGTCCCGCTTCTCGTCTTTGAAAGAACTCGACCTGAACTATAACGATCTTACCGGTCCGATTCCGGCGATAATCCCATCATCACTGCAAGTTTTGAGGATGGCATATAACAAACTCGCCGGCGAAATACCCGACCTCTCCAGCCTCACATCTTTGCAAGAAGTGAGGCTGGAGGGTAATACTCTGACCGGAGCTATTCCTCCGATCACAAATAGTTTGACCAATCTTTCAACACTCGACCTTTCTCGAAACCAGATTCCCGGCGAAATTCCCAACCTGTCTCCCCTTGCGTCCTTGAAAAACCTTTACATGAACGGTAATCGTCTTACCGGTCCGGTGCCGGAATTGCTGGTGAACCTCACTTTACTTGAATATGGGAGCCTGGCGGGGAACAGTCTGATGGGAACTATTCCTAGGAACATCACGCATTTGACCCATCTTTCCCAACTCGACCTTTCTAATAATCAGCTCTCCGGCTGTGTCCCGCCCATGGCTCACGACGAGCATGGTGAGGAAGTGATCGAAACAGTGGGAAATACCGGTATAACTGGAACATGCCTGCCGTGATTAGGAGGACGACGACGGCGACGTGAGGTTGGATGTTTCCACTTTAAAGCTGTCGTCATTTCGTTTTGCACTATCCTAATAATTCTCCTCTGTACTTTTATTTTCGATCTTTCTAAAAGTGTACGTCTCTGTTTAATACACTTATTAAGTTTTTGAAAAAGTTTGAAATTATGTTGAACCACTGCTCGACAAGTGAACCACTACCTTGACTAGCTCGGTCACTAGTCCGATTCTGAAAACTATGGTCTGTATGTCCAAACAAGTTTATCTACGTTTTCCACTAAAACTTTGATTGAACTCCGACCTAATGAAACAACATCCAAATAATGGGGCAAAACAAATTGGGAGTGTACTAGGAATGCTCAAAATCAACTCAACCAAAAGTTCAAACTTGTGATGCTTGTACAGGAAAAGTTATTTATGCTCTAACACGCCCCCTCACATATAAGCATAGTCTTTTTTGAGCCTTAGCTTGCACGTGATACTTTACTTTTTTTTAAATTGGGGATGCTGAGTTTCAATAGAAAGGATTAACCCTCTTTATACAGAAAGAAGATAAAGCAAACAAGAATATTTATATTCCTTCTAAAACAAGAATTATGCAAACTAGAACAAAGTCTCCACTGATTTGTGGACGAGGAATTCTCTCGATCCCGCAAGAGTGGGATAAATAATGATGATGTTCTGCGGTAAGCTACCGTTTGGTATAATGATGATAGATACTAAGGCAAAGTCCCCGTTGAGTTGTGGAGAGTTTTAAGCCGTTCAACGAAATGACAACTCTGCAACCCCCATGTACGGGTTTGCACCGGTTTGGACCTGAACCGGAATTAGCTATTTGTGAAGAACGAAGACAGGACCTGTTCGTTACCGGTCCGAACCTGAATTTACTGGTCTGGTCCTAATTTACCCTATTACGGACCGGATTTTCAAGATTAAAAAAATACATCAATGTAAAATATGCTATGCAAGGCCAAGGATACGGTGTGCTTGTTTGGGTCATTAAAATTGATAACGGAATAGGAAGTGTTGGTCTTGGATTTAGTGGATATGTATAAAAATATTAATACATTGAAAAAATTCCGGTCCAGACCAGTTAATTTCGAATTTAGACCGGACCGGATCTGAAATTGGAATCTACAAATTTTTATAACATTTTTTATTTTTTAAAAAATATTTATTAATGGTCAAAATATAATATAGATTGAGCACAAAAAAGTAAAACTATAAAGAATTAAAGATTAAATATTTTGGGAACTGAGAGAGTATGGAATTTACAAATAAAAATTATATATTAAAAAATTATACATTTAATTTTCCTAAATTTATATTATTACTAAAATACTTTTTAGATTAAAAAAATGTTAACAAAACAAGATGCTATATGATTATATGAAAAAACTAAATAATAAATTTTACAAAACCGAATTGATTAGATTCTCATTGTGTGAATGCTGAATGAAAAATTCTTTGTCGGATAGAGAAAGTATGGATCACATGTTTGACTTTATTTTATTTCAAAAATGATGCATTTTTTTCAACAAAAATATTTTTTACTATTCATTTTTTATTAATTCTTAAAAATTTTGAACAAAAATTATTATAGATAGAAAAGTGTGTGTGTGTGTGTGTGTATATATATATATATATTATAATTATTTATAATGTAACATTAATATAGTTGACTTGATTTTAGTAAGATGTAGTTTTGATGAATCAAATTTTTTTAACAATTTTTTATTTTAAAAACATATTTATTAATGGTCAATATATAATATAGATTGAGCACAAAAAAGTAAAGTTATATTAATGTTTAATTTTTTGGGAACAGAGAGAGTGTTTTTTGGGAACGGAGATAGTATGAAATTTACAAATAAAAACTATATATTTAAAAATATAAATCAAAATTTTATAACATTTGAAATGAAATGACTATATTATTTTATTAAATAAGTAATAGTATTTGACAAAGAAAAAACAAAATAAAATTTGCATATATATATTAATTAAATTGAGCTTATCCCTTAAATGCTCACCCCTTTTGTTCCCAACAAAGCCGGTGGCTCATATGTTAGGTTTAGAATAATACTCCGTATAATCTTAATAATAGTTAAAGTGATAATAATAATAATAGTAATAATAATAGTAAGAGTAATAATAATAGTAATAATAATAATAGAAATAATTTTGAGATCGATATAATTTATTTTTTTATTTTTATTTATTTTTGAAAACATTATTAAAAATTGAAAATAAATTAAAAAAATCCTTATGAAAACAAGGAAACAAACAAGATTTAAGTATGAAAATAAAGAGTAATTCACTCCGAGATTTGCTTTGTCCCCTCCGTCAACTTAGGGTTTTTGTTTCCAGTTGTCAATTGCAAGTTTGGTCTTAGTTTTCCTTTATTCAATTGCAAGGTGTCTTAGTCTTTGTTTGAGGTTTTTTTAATTATGTGGAAGGACTTTCAAAATTTAAGAAGAGAAAAAAATTGGGGCATATTTATCTATTTCTTATTCTTTGCCGGCTACTGAATAGAAAATAGCTTGGGAAGCGAGTGTGCATCCTTTAAAAATTATAAGGATTTTAGGAAGAAGTATTGAAATTTGAAAACATAGGAGGTTTCGGTGCCTATTTTTCAAATCACGGAAGCTTTCGCAGTATTTGGCCGAATAAATAATAAACATAAAAAATAATGTGAACGGAAAGTTGCCTAAATTATAAATACCTAATAATATTAATCATAAATTATAAATACCTAATAATTATAATACTAAATATACTAAGGGCCTATTTGGTAACAATGTTAGAGTTTAGAGTTACATATTAGTTGTTTGCATCAAAGTTAGTGATTTGCTGTTTGATTTTTTCGTTTGGCAGTTAATCATTAAAAAAAGCTAATGTATTGTAAATTACTGAAATATCCATTTGGACATGTACTCCTGTACTTTAAAAGTTTGTTGATTTTAATACTATTTGGGTCACTTTTTACCATTGTTTTAATATTTTAGATCTTTAGATTTCTAGTGTCCAATTTATTAGCATTATATTATTGAGTAAATTCCATATAAAGTCCCCAGTTATAAGTCGTTTTACATATTTAGCCCCTATATATCAAATATTACTAATTTAGTCCCTAATTATTAAATTCATTTCCACGAATGGTCTTTTGTCAACGTTTCCGTTAAGAACGTGGATAAAATTGTAAATTCACACTCCTTTCTATCCTCAATTAAGTTTCTTCCCTCCATTTGCACTCCTTTCCTAAACATGTCACTGAGTTTGAAGCTTTGAACCAAAAACAGAAATTATCACTCTTCTCTCAATTGTTTGTCGAACTGGAGAACCCAAATTCGAAATCATTAACCTTCATGGATGAGTTTTAGTGTTTATTTTTGTTAGAATAAGTGACCAACGCTAGAGGGGGGGTGAATAGCGTTTGATCGTAGAATTCGCAGGAATAAAAAAATTAAGAAAGTGAAAAGTAAAGAGCGTAAAAAGCGTAAAGGGAGCACACCAAGATTTATACTGGTTCACCACAACGTGTGGCTAATCCAGTCTCCCGAGAGACTCTCTCGAGCTACACTACTTCCATTAAGCTTACGGGTGCTTAACAAACCGTTACAACTTGAGAACTCGAGTCCCACGAGCCTCAACAACACTTGCTCGGAGATACCGCACTCCAAGACTTCAACCCGAAGGAAAATACCTTTCCTTCGTACAACCAAGGGAAACAAGCTTCCCTTAACGTGTATACAACACTAAACACTCAAGAACAAAACTCTCTTTAAGAGTAGATGATGAGTAAACTAAGTACGCTCAAAAACAACTCAAACTTCACACAATTTGGCTCTAGAAAGCTATGGAAAATGATGTTGTTTGAATGCAATGAAAGTATGAATATTGTGAAGTGAATTGGTGTTTAAAGCAGACCCAAACACCCCTTTTTATAGTGCCAAAATAGGCTCCAACGGACCAATACATTAAAGGGGTGATTGGCTTGATTTATGTGATTGAATAAATTTGGGATCTGCAGGATATTGGCTTCCCATCGATGTTTGGAACTTACCCATCGCTGGTAAGCCAATTTTCCTTCAGTTTTGAAGCCAACTGTTACCTACCCATCGATGGGTACAAGCTTCCTATCGCTGGGTGGGAGGTTGACTTCCAAACAAGGAAAGAATCAACCTTAAATGACTTCCAACGGTCTTGCCTAACCAGCCATGGGTATGCCCTCCCATCGCTGGGTAAAGGTTCCCATCACTGGGTAAGGGCATTCTGCCTGTGAAAATGTTGGACCAAGGCTTAAACAGCGATAGGTAGAACTTCCCATCGCTGTTTGGCATGGTTCTAGAAATCAGTTTCGCTGAGGGACTGCTTACCCATCGATGGGAAGATCTTCCCATCGCTGGGTGGCATGATTCTAGAATCCCGAGATCACTTACCCATGCATGGGTAATATCTACCATCGCTGGGTAGATGGCTAGTCCAGAACCATGGCTTAGCCGACCGACGCTAAAACCCGACCGAAAAATGCAAAGTTCTCCAAAGTAAAAATTAAGTATCTAAAACACTTCCTTAATGTATTGTGATGTCGAAACATTCTTTGTAAGTTGAAAACCACGTCGTTAAGGTAAAAACCACGGTTGACCAAGTCAACACCGTACACGGGTGGTTTTCACCAAAAGACAAAACCGAAAGGTGGTTTTCATTATGTTTTGATTGGAGAACAATTTAAATTCATTCAAAAACAATTTCCACACAAAAATACTCGAAAACCACTTCATTTAAGTAAAAACCACGGCTAGCCAAGTTTATGCTGTTTCACATGGTTTTTATCAAACGACAAAAAAAGAAACGTGGTTTTTGAATTGTTTTTTATCGAAACCTATTTAAATGTGCCCAGAAGTAAAAACCAATCATAAAAAGTTGAAAACCACTTGGTTGGTTCGGACGCCAAAAACCAACGCCGATAACCGAATGCCGAATGCCGGTTTCCAAAAGCCGAACGCCGGATGGCTTGGTTTTTGGTTTGGGCGAACACCAAATGTTTTAATATGTGTAAGCATGTTTGAAAATAATTTTTATGATATGTGAAATGCAATAAAAAATGTTTTAGCCTAAAGAGCCAAAGTGCAAAGCTTGGGTCTGTCT